CAGCTTTTCTGTTTCAGCGGTGAGAGACACTTTGTTTGGACACATGTAGAACGTGTTGTACTGTTTGTGCAGTACATTTGCACAGAGCACAGTCACAACACGTGAGCTCCTGCACTGCCGGTAAATTGATGCAGTGAATGTGTCGGCTCAAACTAATGAGCAAATGTTTGTTGTTTTTAGTACAGTACTTTTTAATAGTCCAATCAGATTCATTTGGTCTTCCAATATTTTATGTTCTTAGGTTCTTTTTTTCAGACCAAGAGTTTGTTTTCATACCTGACAGTAGAGGTGAGATCGGGCCTAAAAAATCCAGCCCGACCCGACCCGGCCCGCGGGTATTAAAACCCGACCCGGCCCGAGCCCGACCAATTAACTTGATTTGCAGGCCCGAGCCCGAAGCAAACCCGAAATGTCATATTTTATTTGTGACTCGGGAGGAGGAGCAGTGCTCAGCGTCGAGGTGCCAGTCTTTTTGCTCTCGTATGAAGCAAAGCGCCACATTGACGACATTCAGCGAAGCCAACGCAAGTTTCTGTAGCATTTTCAACAATCAATTTGAAGCTTTTCCACACCTCACTCTTACCGGTGCGTGTTTGTCTTTTCAGTTCTCCTGCCTTTAGTTTAACTTCTTGCTCCTCCATATTGGGGACACCAGGTCAAAATAGATGCAGACTTGCGGAGGGGAAGATGATTAAATGAAGAGGGGGCGTTCACGTGTGCTCTGGCTCTGCGGCTCCTGTTTAGTAGTTAAATAGTAATTACATTACATTACTTCTCTGTTTTATCCATATTATTTATTTTATAACAAGTATTCCTTAGTTTAGTATCCACACATCGTTTTAGCATACATTTTATAAACATATATTTATTTGAAGCCCGAGCCCGACCCGACCCGAAGTAATGATTGGGTCGGGTCGGGCTTGGGCTCGGTCTTAAGATCTTACCTCTACCTGACAGTTTCGACTGATCACTAGTGTCTTCAACATCACGTGACTCTGAGGAAGACACTAGTGAGCAGCTGAAACTATCAGGTATGAAAACAAACACTTGGTCTGAAAATAGAACATCATAACATAAAGTACTTTTTAGTATGAGTATTTTTTAGTACCAGTACTAGTACAGTGTTTCCCAAAGACTGGGTCATGAGTCACAAGAGATTCAGGCGAGTCACAAGAGATTTTTTTTTTTTTTTTTGGATCCGTCTTGTCACGATCTGCATGTCGGTCTGTGATTTACAGTTCTGACACATGTTGAAATGTTAATACGTTTTGTATTAATTTCTAATCTTTTTGTAATTATTTTATTGACTATTTTGTTCCAGTATTGCTGGTTCAGTTGAATGTTGAAAAGAAAGAAGAAATGTTCTACGTTTAATGTCCAAATAGTCGACTTATGGATCTTTTTATTTCTGCTTCAGTGACTGTTTTTATTGTTTAAAACTTGAGTCATACTGATTGTTTAGAGACGTGATCACTCAGTCAACAATAAAATATCCTCATTAATGTTCAGTGATGCTCAAATCCACTTTTATTTTGAGATTTAAACTCCACACACCTTCATCAGAAACATTTGGATGATTTCAGTCCTGGAATGATCAATCTCTACTGAACTAAAACTAAGAGGTAGCTATCACTTCATGACATCACAAGGTGGAGCAGAGCATTTTGACCTTCGGAGATGTAAACAGACTAATAATAAAGATTTACTCAAACATGTGCGAATGAAATAAAACACAACTGCAGGTTATAACACGATTTAAAACTTGCAGGAGTCAGTTTTATTGTTCTTTGTTGCAGCAGAAAGAAAGATCTTACTTTGAGGATTTTATTTTCTTGAAAATGGAAATAAAACTTATTCTGATTCTGAAAAAGACAAGTCTGGGAGTCGAGACACAGTGTATAACCTTCAAAACTTCTGTTAAATACTGTGAGAGGCTGAGTTTACATTTAATTACAAAATTCAGATGTTTAAATTGAGAACGAGGAGAAGCTGAAATACAGGCTGGTTTATGGGTTTGTACCATTTGTACTTTTGAATTTTAATTAAGAACGAAAAACAAAATGGGAAAACAGTTTGTTATTTCATTTTTCCATTTTAGTGTCAAACAAAAAAACAGATTTCAACCTCTATTTCCAATATTCAATTTAAAGTTTATGTCAAATAACACCAGTCAAAAAACAGTCTTAGTGACTATTTTAATTTTGATATTTTATTCTCTCTGGTTTATATGAAGTTCTGCAGCTCAGCGTCGTCAGATGAACAAAGGAGTTTATCGCTGCTTCCTTTTTCTCGTCTTGGAGTTCAACGATGACTTTCTGAGGCGCAAAAGTAGAAGCGTTGCTATAAAAGAAGAGGACAACGATTTTTCAGGTAAGTTCTTCTAGCAGCAGAACTTCTGGGGCAAATCGCTGGTTTCAGATGACGTCACGTCAACGTCACCAAAATCAGATGGGGTCAGGAAGTAAAGACAGAACCCCGTTTATTTCTGTTGACTCGATTTCAAAATGCCTGAATTCGGTGCAGTCTTTGGTCGCTGCAACCGCTCAAATCGAGAGAAAGACAAACTTTTTTTTCATGTACCGAAAGTGTAGGGATGTCCCGATCACATTTTTTTGCCTCTGAGTCATTTGATTTTGAGTATCTGCCGATACCGAGTCCCGATCCGATACTTCTATAAAACATTATGAAATGAACTAAGAGCAAAGAATCAGATCCAGGATGTTTGTGGGATCAGATTGTGCTGATTTCATGTGTAGTATTTGGGCTGAACTTAATCAAATGTCCAAAACTTTAATTTTATTCACTTTTCTAACCATGAACCATCATTGTTGAAAATCTTTCCTTTTACCACAGTCTGGTCTTGGAATGTGTAACTTAGTGAACTTAATGAACTGGACAAAACAGGAACCAGACCAGAACCAGATCAGACCTGAGACTCTGCACAATCTACACTTTGTATATTTGATATTATATGGAAGCAATAATACAAAATCTTACCAAATAAAAACAAGACAGAAGCCCCACAGCCTCTCTCCCCTTCCTTGTCACTCAAAATGTCCTAATTTATCACTCAAAAAACTTTATGTTGTGCTCATTTTATGAGATTACTGCTGTAATTTGACAGCGGTCACACTATGTCATTGACTTCAGCAGCATCGGAGAAACATGGGCAGGTTTTGTTGTGTATTTGGTTGTTCTAGATCAGAACTCATTTTGGTCCGGGGGTCGTATCCAACCGACTTTGATCCCAAAGTGTCCGGATCAAAAAACTCATGTCATATAAACCCCAAAAATAACAATAAGTTCAAATATTTGTGCAGAGAAACACAAATCTATTACAGGAATATTTTTTTAATTGATGAACTCTTTCTTTTACAAAATATTATAATATTATGAACAAACTGAAACTTTAAGAAAAATACAATTTCAACACAAAGTTTTAACATGAACTTGTTTGCAAACAGGAATAAGTCAATTTTTGTTGTAAAATCCTGCACTCGGCTCCACTTTTCTCATGTTGGACATTTTTCTGATGAGAGTGTCACGGTCAACAGTCAAAACGATCGTCCTTTAAGAGCGTTTGGAAAGAGACAAGTCTTCATTTGTGCTGCTCTGGTGGGAGGGGCCACGTACAGAGACGCTGGAGACGCTGCTGTGATAAACACCACAGAAAATTAACAAGATTTTAATAGAAAATATAATTCAAATATTTGAGTAGAAAATCACCCAAAGGCCAGATTAAAGGTCTTGGAGGGCCGGATCTGGCCCCCGGGCCTTATGTTTGACATCTGTGAAAGGCATAAAACGATTTGTTTCTTCACTGTTTCTCTGGAAATGACTCATCAGGATCAAACAAGGAAATTATCAGGAAAAAAAAAACGGGAATTATGTCTAGAGAACAAAAACCACGAAGAGATTTCCAATACTCCCATCAAGACACCCGAAGTTTCATCAAGGTATTTGCTATTTAAATTGTTTCAGAGCTTACATTTACTGCACTAAAATGTCATTAATTTATCCAGGAAAACTCGCAGTTTACGATTCAACGAACCCACACTGGGCTCCTGTGATCAACATGACGCACGAGTCGAAGAGTCTGTGAGCCGAACCTCGAAAGAATCGACCATGAAAAGATCCTCGCGAACGTTAGAAAGATCCGCTCTCAAAAATCGATTAATTCTAGAAGACAAAGTTGTGGATAAACAAGACAATAAAGAAAACATGGTCCTACGACGAGTGACATGTTTATATGTGCTGGAACATACAGTTTCTACTGCCACTCACACTGCAAATGTTTTCTTTTTACATTTTAGTTCAGTAAATGTGCTTCTTGGACACGTGACGGTGCAAAACCTCTATATCGTACGGGTCATAACCGATATTTAGACTTATTTTATCGTGATGTGCCTGTGCCGGTCGGTTCAAACTTTTATCGTACTCGCTGTCACGTAATGTGCTGTTTTGAATCGGAGCAAAACATTTCCTGCCCACATCTGGATTTCACGCATCGTCAGAGTCACGTGAACAAAACCCGAGAAAATAAAATATCATCATTAAAATAGACACGGTGACTGTTTTTAGATTGGTGTGATTTGAAATAGACTTTAAATTAAATATTGGAAAAGGTCAAAATCTGTTTTCTTGTTTGACACTAAAGCAGAAAAATGAAATAAACTCTTTCCCCATTTTATTGTTTTTCGTTCTTAATTGAAATTCAAAAGAACGAACTGTACGCGGACCTTTGTGATTTAACATCTCTTTATGAAACCAAAGTGTCCGGTGAAAAGTGAAAGGTCTCTGGACGTGCACGAGTGAAATAATAATAATAATATATTCACAGAACTGGGAAACGGTCTTGTATTATTCAATCACACGAGCCTGATTGGAATTAATAAAGAAACACCCGTAAGCGTCCAAATGAACCGGGTTTCCGTGCCGTTTTGAATGCGCTGGGAAATTGTGCGTAAATTGATTTTCGAACGTGACATAAATAAATCGAATTAAATTCCAGAGGTGGGCAGAGATAAGAGAAGGGAAGCGTTGCGATTGCGGCGGAGAGCTGAGGACGGCAGGTCGGAGTCGGCTCCAGGTAAGTGCCACGCTCGAGGGGGTGAGGGAGGCTCGAGGGGGTGAGGAGGCTCGAGGGGGTGAGGAGGCTGAGGGGGTGAGGGGGCTCGAGGGGGTGAGGAGGCTCGAGGGGGCAGGGGGCTCGAGGGGGTGAGGAGGCTCGAGGGGGTGAGGGGGTGAGGAGGCTCGAGGGTGAGGGGGCTCGAGGGGGTGAGGAGGCTCGAGGGGTGAGGAGGCTCGAGGGGTCGAGGGGGTCGAGGGGTCGAGGGGCCGAGGGGGAGGGGGCTCGAGGGGGTGAGGGGGCTCGAGGGGGTGAGGGGGTCGAGGGTGCAGGGGGCTCGAGGGGGTGAGGAGGCTCGAGGGTGCAGGGGGCTCGAGGGGGTGAGGGGGTGAGGAGGCTCGAGGGTGAGGGGTGAGGAGGCTCGAGGGTGCAGGGGGCTCGAGGTGGGGGAGGGGGTGAGGAGGTGAGGGGGTGAGGAGGCTCGAGGGGGTGAGGGGGTGAGGAGGCTCGAGGGGTGAGGAGGCTCGAGGGGTCGAGGGGGCAGGAGGCTCGAGGGGGTGAGGGGGTGAGGAGGCTTGAGGGGGTGAGGAGGCTCGAGGGGGTGAGGAGGCTCGAGGGGGTGAGGAGGCTCGAGGGGGAGGGGGGGGCTCGAGGGGGTGAGGAGGCTCGAGGGTGAGGGGGCTGAGGGGGAGGGGGCTCGAGGGGGTGAGGAGGCTCGAGGGGTGAGGGGGTGAGGAGGCTCGAGGGGTGAGGGGGCTCGAGGGGGTGAGGGGGCTCGAGGGGGTGAGGAGGCTCGAGGGGGTGAGGGGGTGAGGGGTCGAGGGGGTGAGGGCTCGAGGGGGTGAGGGGTGAGGGGTGAGGAGGGGGCTCGAGGGGGTGAGGAGGGGGTGAGGAGGCTCGAGGGGTGAGGGGGCTCGGGGTGAGGGGTGAGGGGGCTCGAGGGGGGTGAGGGGGCTCGAGGGGGTGAGGGGGCTCGAGGGGGTGAGGAGGCTCGAGGGGTGAGGGGTGAGGAGGCTCGAGGGGGTGAGGGGGCTCGAGGGGTGAGGGCTCGAGGGGGTGAGGAGGCTCGAGGGGGTGAGGGGGCTCGAGGGGGTGAGGGGTCGAGGGGTGAGGGGGTGAGGAGGCTCGGGTGAGGGGGTCGAGGGGTGAGGAGGAGGGGGTGAGGAGGCTCGAGGGGAGGGGCTCGGGTGAGGGGGCTCGAGGGGGTGAGGAGGCTCGAGGGGGTGAGGAGGCTCGAGGGTGAGGGGGCTCGAGGGGGTGAGGAGGCTCGAGGGGGTGAGGGGGCTCGATTGATCATGCTAAATTCACCTAACATTATGGACTTTTATGGACAACAGGGTGGAAAAACACGTGTGATTATCTGTAGGTCTACATAACATGTTTTTCTGGACTTTGAGATGCCACGGAGCAGCAAAACTGACATATGTGGACCCCGTGGCATGTTTCCACCCATGATAAGGTGCACTGGGTCAGCAGTATTGTTCATTTTCTTTCTGTATATGCTAAACTCAACAAGTTAATGTTTTGTCAAGATGTAGTATAAAGCTACCCCTGAGTTTGAGTTGGTCACTGAGGTGTCGTTCCGGGGTGACAGTTGTACAGTTGTACTTGGTAATCAACTTGAATCTCTCAATGGAAATGACGAAATAAAGTGGCCTGTTCTCTCGGATTCTCCATCTCCTGTGCTTCTTTTTAGGACACGCATGGAACCTTCCGAAAAAACCCACAGGAGGCTCGAGGGGGTGAGGAGGCTCGAGGAGGCTCGAGGGGGTGAGGAGGCTCGAGGGGGTGAGGAGGCTCGAGGGCGGAGGTGATGGAGGTGGAAGGGACCTGGGACCTGGGGGCAGCCTCGGGCGTGGGGAGGCAGTGAGGCGTGGGTCTCCGTGGAACGCCATCTGTGCCCGTCAGCCTGAGTGCCCCCCACCCCTCGCTGAAGACTCCTCTGACACAGCACCACACACCTGCACGTCCACAAAAACACTCAGATTTATGCTTCACCGGCACAACCCGTCTCTGCTGCTAAACACTTTCTCTTTCTTTGTGGTGGCATTTCCAGTTAAACACAAATCCCATTCATTTCAATAAATAATTTGAGAAAAGTTTCGCTGCTACAGTGTGATATAAATTAAATTCAAGTTTATTGTCAAATTTCCGAATGAAAAACTGAAATTATATTCTCACACTCAATCTTCTAAATTAAATAAAAGAAAAGGAAAAGTCTAAAGTTCTTCTTTAGGGAGACAGATTCCTGCTTCCTGGTGGTTATAGAGGGGGAGAGTTCAGCATCCTAACAGCCTGGTGGATGATTGATTGATTGATTGATTGACTGCATTTATACAGCGCCTTTCAAGATACCCAAAGTGCTTTACAGTTCATTATTCATTCACTCCACACTCAGTGGTGGTAAACTTCTACTGTAGCCACAGCTGCACTGGGGCAGACTGGCGGAAGTGAGGCTGCCAATCTGCGCCATCAGCCCCTCCCACCACCATCACTCACGCACTCACTACTTTAATACTATGAAGCTGACGAAGCTGTTAGTCTGGTGATGCAGGAACTGAGGCTTCTGTACCTCCTCCCAGACGGCAGGAAGGTGAACAGATCCTGTGTGACTGTGAGTGACGTGCATCACTCACAGTTATAAGGGCTTTGCGGCTGAGGCAGGTGGTGCATGTGCGAGTAAGACTACGTTCAGACTGCAGGGTTTAACGCTCAATTCAGATTTTTTGTGAAATCCGATGTTTTTTCGAGGTCGTTCACATTTCCAGTTAAATGTGACTTGTATGTGACTCCAGTGTGAACGTTAAACGGCCCAAAAGTGTCCCACATGTGACACTGGAGACACGACGACGTCAACCGCAGCGAGCGTCTCTGTGTTTACAGAAGTTGTCCAAACATGGACGCAGCATCGAGCACCTGGAGATTTTAAAGTTCCTCTCGTACCGGAGCCAGAACATGAACAACTGACTTGTTTTATTTATTTATTTTATTTATTTGAGACAGGGACAGCGCACAATTTTCACATTAACCTTGACAGGAGAGATGCATTGTACATCAGGTTGTAGCATCAGTGCTAATTTCCACCTGTAGTCCCTGGACAGGTTCATTGATTGATCTTATTTAACTGACCTTGACTGTCAACTGGAGACCTGTAGCATGTTTTGGGTTGATGGGGAAAGTGGAGCACCGGAGGAAACCCATCCAGACACAGGGAGAAACATGCAAACTCCAACAGAAAGGCCCTGGCGACCTGGGGATCGAACCCAGAACCTTCTTGCTGTGAGGTATGAGTGCTAGCCACTCAGCCACGTGCCGCCGAGGAGGAGATTGAGAAGGAGAAGGACGAGGTTTTTGGTCGTGGTGTTTTGTGGTGAGTGGAGATGTGCTTCACTTCAGTCACACAGAGTTCATTAACAATTTTCTCCTACTTCAGCGCAGAATAGTGACGTTTGTGTCTTGTTGATGACGTGTAGGTGGATGAATGCACTTTGGCCGTTCAGACTGAAGTCACATGTCAAAAGATCAGATATGTATCAGTTTCAGGAGCACAGATCCAAGTGTCCTGGGTCACATGTGAAAAAATCTGATCTGTGTCATTCAGACTGACATTAAAAGATCAGATACAGGAACATAGGGGCCAAAAAATCGGATTTGGGTCACTTCAGGTGCAGACTGAACTCAGCCTAAGACGGGGGTGGGGTGTATGTGCCTCACCTGCTCATACAGCACATATGTGGGTGAACCATCATCATGACCACATTCTACAGAGGAACCACTGAAAACATCCACCCACGGCACTTGTCCACTTGAGTTTCTGCAGGAAGTCGAGGAGCTGCTGGACTTTCTTCACCAGTGCTGCAGTGTTGGTCCAGAGCTCCTCACTGATGTGCACCTCCAGGAGTTTAGTGCTGCTCACTCTCTCCACAGCAGCACCGTCGATCAGTGGCGGGTGTCGTGTGTGGCCTTAGTCTCGCTGACGTTCAGCTGGAGGTTGTTGTCTCATTGTCAGAAGATTTACCTCTAAAGTTGGTTAATTTCTGTAAAAAGTTCAGTGTTCACGTGCACCGCGCTGCAGTGATTCTCTGGAGGCTTTGCTCTTTGTACAGAACTTATTTGCCTCATGTAAAATAATACAACCCCAACGACGATGACGCCCGCAGAATAATGAAAAACTCCCATTTACTGCAAAAAGGCTGATTTTGGTTTTCCAATGTTCTGTCCAAATAAAGTTTCTTTTTGACAGACCAGTTTGTCGTTTATCCCGTGACTCTTCTGAAGAAGCATCTGAAACATGTCCTGGTGTAGAGTCACCGTAACATCACGTGACTCTTCTGCATCTGGGTTTATAAGAAGCATCTGAAAAGTGTGTGTAACCCACAAACTGGTCCATAAAAAAGAACCTTTACTTGGATATAACTCATATTTACACTGGACTGTTTTTTTTTTTTTTTTTTTTACTGCTACTTGTTTTCAGATTTTGCATTTCATCAGACTCTAATATCAGATCTCAACAATAACCAGAGCCAAACTATAAATAAATAAACACAACCTGTTCCAGCAATAACAGGTGCCAACAATAACACTTCATTTCACTCTCAATTTAAAAGTCTGAAGAAGTCTGAAGGCCTGATGCACAGGTTCACCTCCAGAGGGCGCTCTGCCACCAGGAGGCGCTGAGCAACACTGAAGTGACATTGATGAGGGTCTGAACAGAAGATGCAAAAGTGGCGTCGCGTCTTCACTTTTTATTCAGCGTTTAGACGAGTGTTTTCAGTAGTAAATCTAAAAGTGTGTGGAAGTGGATTGTGTGTGTTTGTACTTAAAGCAACAAGAGCGTCTTTGGACACACAGAAGTTTTCACGTCACACATTTTCATCAGCTCCTCCTTCCACAAAGTCGTCCCACCATCCACCTGGTTCTCCAGGTCTCGTCCAGATCCGTCTGACTCGACTGAGACGACCTGGTGCGTCCAGAGTCTGACAGAGGTGATTGTAGATTCTTCTCTGTTCACTAATAGTGTCTCTGCACATTCTCCATATTTGTTGTTTTGCCTCCTGTAAGTTTATTTATTGAAGGTCCGACGCATGAAAATGATCCAACATGTTTGTTTCTGTGTCTGTATGTTTGTGACGTAAACATGTACGTGACCTGAGCACATCTGACCAGAGTTTTGCGTCTTGGGCAGTGTAGACGGAAACACTACAGTGAAGCGTATTTAACTTTTCCACTCTGGATGGTGGTTTCAGATTTTTGCGTTTTTAAGCCCCAGAAACGCCGTCACCGTCTAAACCAGGAGAGTCAAACTCATTTTGTTCCAGGGGTCGTGTCCAACCGACTTTGATCCCAAAGTGGCCGGATCAGAAAACTCATGTCATATAAACCCCAAAAATAACAATAAGTTCAAATATTTGTGCAGAGAAACACAAATCTATTACAGAAATATTTTTTAAATTGATGAACTCTTTCTTTTACAAAATATTATAATATTATGAACAACCTGAAACTTTAAGAAAAATACAATTTCAACACAAAGTTTTAACATGAACTTGTCTGTAAACAGGAATAAGTCCATTTTTGTTGTAAAATCCTGCACTCGGCTCCACTTTTCTCATGTTGGACATTTTTCTGATGAGGGTGTCACGGTCAACAGTCAAAACGATCGTCCTTTAAGAGCGTTTGGAAAGAGACAAGTCTTCATTTGTGCTGCTCTGGTGGGAGGGGCCACGTACAGAGACGCTGGAGACGCTGCTGTGATAAACACCACAGAAAATTAACAAGATTTTAATAGAAAATATAATTAAAATATTTTAGTAGAAAATCAGCCTGAGGCCCAGGTTAAAGGTCTTGGAGGGCCGGATCTGGCCCCCGGGCCATATGTTTGACACCCCTGATATAAACAAAAGACACTTCAGATAAAAGTCGTTCTCGTGTAAACAGACCCTTTAAGCAAACAAGAAATTAACCAAAAAGTGGAAAAAAAAATTCTGAAGTACCACCTGCTGGAGCTTGTGTTGCACCTGTGGTACATGTTCCACAGTTTGAGAAACATTATTCTGAATATCTTGTTCCCTCAGCTTTCAAAAGTGTCGTGTTTAAACCCTCCATGTGGACGACGGCTGCTGTACAAATAAATACATTAAATACAGAAATGGGTTTTGATTACGTCCCGTGTCGTTGTGTTGTAACGGCATGAAACACCATCTGTCCGCCGCACGTTTACACATTTACCCCGACGCTCTGTGTGACATATGTGAACACACACACACACACACACACACACACACACACACACACACACACACACACACACACACACACACACACACACACACACACACACACACGTGTTCAGACGTGTCTTCATTTTCTGTCACATTGCGAGTTTGACGTGCGTTTGGCTCCGGCGCTTAAACGGCGTCGCGTGAGGCCCCCCCGCCGCGGCGCTCTGATGCACGCGCCGCTCTGATGTGGAAATGTCACGGCGACGCTCTTTGACTCGCCTCACGCTCCTATTAACGGACGAATCACGGCGCCGGGGTTCTGGGGTCGAGGTGAAACGAGCCTCACAAGTGGAAATCAGCCGAGACTCAGCAGCAGGAGAGAGAGAGAAGGAAAAAGAAAAAGAAAAGAAAAGAGAAAGAGAAAGAGAAAGAGAAAGAGAGGTACAGGGAGAAGCTCAGAGGAGGTGAAGAGGGACAAGCAGGAACAGACGACCTTTCCAGTTTCATATATGACACCTGGGAATATGTTTTATATCACCGAGAATAACTTTCCAAACATAAGAGACAAACTTACTTTTTTTTTTCTTTCTTAAAAAGCCGTCACGTGTGGCTTTTTGAGCTTATTTCAAAGCATTATCCTACGTCAGGGTAACAGTCCTTATTCCGACAGACCACCTCCCCGACCCCATCTGACAACCGACTAAAGTTTGGAGTGTCGCCTTTTTCCCTTGTGTACAACACGTGGACCGTGCCTCTAAACCAGGACTAAAACCAGAACTAAACCAGGACTAAAAACAGAACTAAATCAGGTCTAAACCAGGACTAAACCAGGACTAAAACCAGAACTAAATCAGGTCTAAACCAGGACTAAACCAGGACTAAAATCAGAACTAAATCAGGTCTAAACCAGGACTAAAACCAGAACTAAACCAGGACTAAACCAGGACTAAAATCAGAACTAAATCAGGACTAAACCAGGACTAAAACCAGAACTAAATCAGGTCTAAACCAGGATAAACCAGAAAACAGGTCTAAACCAGGACTAAAACCAGAACTAAATCAGGTCTAAACCAGGACTAAAACCAGAACTAAATCAGGTCTAAACCAGGACTAAAACCAGAACTAAATCAGGTCTAAACCAGGACTAAACCAGGTCTAAACCAGAACTAAATCAGGTCTAAACCAGGACTAAACAGGTCTAAACCAGGACTAAACCAGGTCTAAACCAGAACTAAATCAGGTCTAAACCAGGACTAAAACCAGAACTAAACCAGGACTAAACCAGGTCTAAACCAGGTCTAAACCAGGTCTAAACCAGGTCTAAAACCAGGTCTAAACCAGGTCTAAACCAGGACTAAACCAGGACTAAATCAGGTCTAAACCAGGACTAAAATAAGAACTAATTCAGGACTAAACCAGGTCTAAACCAGGACTAAACCAGGTCTAGACCAGGACTAAACCTGGACTAAACCTGGACTAAAACTATCACTGAACCAGAACTCAACCAGGCCTAAAATCAAGTCTAAAATCTGGACTAAACCAGGTCTAAACCAGGACTAAACCAGGTCTAAACCAGGACTAAACCAGGTCTAAACCAGGTCTAAAACTAGCACTAAACCAGGACTAAACCAGGACTAAACCAGAACTAAACCAGGACTAAAATCAGGTCTAAAATCAGGACTAAACCAGGATTAAAAAAGGACTAAACCAGGACTTAAAACCAGGACTAAAAAAGGACCAAACTAGGACCAAAAAAGTACTAAACCAGGACTAAACCAGGTCTAAACCAGAACTAAACCAGGTCTAAACCAACACTAAACCAGGACTAAAAAAGAAAAAGCGGGAGTGTTCACTAAACTGTCGTCTGGTCGTGTAAATCCAAAAATCAAATCAATTAAAATCAGCCCAAACTTTATAACTTCTTTAACGCTGTCGTCTGCTCTTCACGTCCCTCAAATAAAAACCAAACAAAAACCTTCTGTAGAGCAATGGTGAAGTGGACTGATTGTAATTAGGTCATGAAGTTGCCCAAAAAACAGGCGGACGGAGGGAACAGGAGCGGCAGGTGCTGCTCCCTACGCCCAGGATCTGACACTAACTTTGACCATCTGGAAAAACAGCCAGCGTGTTCTCCTCCTCACGCCAAAGATTCTGTACGTAAACAGGACTAAACAGGTCTGAGACCAGGTTCTCAAAGGAAAAAACAGCCAAAAAACTAAACCAGGTAAAAACTAAACCAGGACTAAACCAGGTCTAAAGGTCTAAACATGACCAGGTCTAAACACAACTAAACCAGTCTAAAACAGGACTAAACCAGGTCTAAAACCAGGTCTAAACCAGGTCTAAACCAGGACTAAAAACTAAACCAGGACTAAACCAGGTCTAAACCAGGTCTAAACCAGGACTAAACCAGGTCTAAACCAGACTAAACCAGGTCTAAACCAGGACTAAAACAGGTCTAAACAGGTCTAAACCAGGTCTAAAACCAGGACTAAACCAGGTCTAAACCAGGACTCTAAACCAGGTCTAAACCAGGTCTAAACCAGGTCTAAACCAGGACTAAACCAGGACTAAAACTAAAACTAAACCAGGTCTAAACCAGGACTAAACCAGGTCTAAACCAGGACTAAACCAGGACTAAACCAGGTCTCTAAACCAGGACTCTAAACCAGGACTAAACCAGGTCTAAACCAGGACTAAACCAAGACTAAACCAGGACTAAACCAGGACGAAAAACAGGTCTAAACCAGGACTAAACCAGGACTAAACCAGGACTAAACCAGGACTAAACAGGACTAAACAGGACTAAACCAGGTCTAAACCATAAACCAGACTAAAACAGGTCTAAACCAGGACTAAACCAGGACTAAACAAAGACTAAACCAGGTCTAAACCAGGTCTAAACCAGGACTAAACCAGGACTAAACCAGGACTAAACCAGGACTAAACCAACTAAAACCAGGTCTAAACCAGGAAAACCAGGACTAAACCAGGACTAAACCAGGACTAAACCAGACTAAACCAGACTAAACCAGGTCTAAACCAGGACTAAACCAGGACTAAAACAGGTCTAAACCAGGACTAAACCAGGACTAAACCAGGTCTAAACCAGGACTAAACCAGGACTAAACCAGGACTAAAACAGGTCTAAACCAGGACTAAACCAGGACTAAACCAGGACTAAAGACAGACTAAACCAGGACTAAACCAGGACTAAACCAGGTCTAAACCAGGACTAAACCAGGACTAAACCAGGACTAAACTAAACAGGACTAAACCAGGACTAAACCAAGACTAAACCAGGTCTAAACCAGGACGAAAAACAGGTCTAAACCAGGACTAAACCAGGACTAAACCAGGACTAAACCAGGACTAAACCAGGACGAAAAACAGGTCTAAACCAGGACTAAACCAGGACTAAACCAGGACTAAACACAGGTCTAAACCAGGACTAACCAGGACTAAACCAGGTCTAAACCAGGAAAAAACCAGGACTAAACCAGGACTAAACCAAGACTAAACCAGGGACTAAACCAGGACTAAACAACCAGGACTAAACCAGGTCTAAACCAGGACTAAACCAGGACTAAACCGAAAAACAGGTCTAAACCAGGACTAAACCAGGACTAAACCAGGTCTAAACCAGGACTAAACCAGGACAAACCAGGTCTAAACCAGGTCTAAACCAGGACTAAACCAGGACTAAACCAGGACTAAACCAGGACTAAACCAGGTCTAAACCAGGACTAAACCAGGACTAAAACCAGGACTAAACCAGGACTAAACCAGGACTAAACCAGGACTAAACAGGACTAAACCAAAACCAAGACTAAACCAGGACTAAACCAGGACTAAACCAGGACTAAACCAAGGACTAACCAGGACTAAACCAGGACTAAAAGGTCTAAACCAGGACTAAACCAGGACTAAACCAGGCTAAACCAGGTAAACAGGACGAAAACCAGGTCTAAACCAGGACTAAACCAGGACTAAACCAGGACAAACCAGGACTAAACAGGTCTAAACCAGGACTAAACCAGGTCTAAACCAGGTCTAAACCAGGTCTAAACCAGGACTAAACCAGGTCTAAAACCAGGTCTAAACCAAGTCTAAAGTCAGGACTAAAATCAGGACAAATCTAGATCTAAACCAGGGTTTAACTAGATCTAAATCAGGACTAAATCTGGACTAAAACCAAAACTAAAACCAGAACTAAAACGAGGTCTAAACCAGGTCTAAATCAGAGCTAAAATCAGGTTTAAACCAAGTCTAACACCAGGACTAAAACCAGGTCTAAACCAGGTCTAAATCAGGTCTAAACTAGGATTAAAATCAGGACTAAAACCTGGTCTAAACCAGGATTTAACCTGGTCTAAACCAGATCTAAACCAGGTCTAAACAAGGGCTAAAACAGGATTTAACCAGGACTGAACCAGGACAAAAACCAGGTTTAAACCAGGACTGAAAGCGGGTCTAAATGAGGACTAAAACCAGGTCTAAACGAGGACTAAAACCAGGTCTAAACGAGGACTAAAACCAGGTCTAAACGAGGACTAAAACCAGGTCTAAACTAGGTCTAACTCAGCAACTTCAGAGAAAATTAAATAATAAAATAACGAAATGGAATAAAATGTTAATAAATAAAATGAAGCAAAGAGTTCTGTGTCTTTTTCCTTTTCGATGAATTAATTTAATTTAGTTTTCTCTTTAGTTCAGTCGAGACTGACTGGCAGTGAATGCACACGCTCGCTGTGTCCCAGTCCGAAGGCTGGTTTTAAGGCCGCATACGTCACTTCCGGTGAAACAAGGCCTGTCCCATTTCATTGTTATGTCATGCAGCCTTCAAATGCAGCCCTAAAACCGGCCTCGTTTCCATGGAGATGGGGCCGCGAACGGAGGACACATCCGAGTATCCTTCACAGCCTTCAGTATCCCAGCATGCACCGCGGCAGCAGTCACATGTTCGAAAACATGGAGGAAAAAGCCGGTCCCGAGAGCGGAGAAAAACATGTGAGTAACACTTTTAACTTTAGGAAATCATTACTAACACAACTGTAAACGTAAAATACGACCATAACTCCCACAAAACGGTCAAATAAGTTTGTTTTTAACTGCGTGAACCGCGGAGTTTTGAGCTAAAGTTTGCCTAGTGATGTGCAGCTAATGCGATGAAAAGTCCACTCAAACTTTCATATTTGGACACATTTCCATCAAACACTCATCATGTTTTTACTGTTGGGGGAAAAGAAGCTCACAGATGATTTAAAGAAGCAACGAGGAGAAAACTCCACGTTTTCACGGACAGTGTAAACATGTAAACAGTTGGTCAGTGTAGCTCGGAGTTAAGATGAAAACACACATTATTTCATACATTCAACTGAAAAAAGACTCAGTCTGACTCTATCAAAGCTCATATTTACTTGTAAATCACATAATATCAGCCTCCAACGTGTGCATTTCATTCAGGGAAACATGATCTGCTTTAACAATCTGTGCATGTTTGTAAAGTGAAGAGTAAATAATCCTGCCTGGACACGTCAGATTTATGATGGACATGAGGCTCGTTTAACAGATTTGTGCAGACACTGGTGTAGATACGACCTGGTGTAGATACGACCTGGTGTAGATACGACCTGGTGTAGATACGACCTGACTGTGTCTGTTCGGTCTGTCACATCTAATGTTATAACAATGAGAAATCTGTTTTACATGAATTTTCTTTTCTCATCTGCAGCCTCCTGTATGAGGACGCGACACACTGCAGGGGCCACAGAACTGTTGGCTGACAAGATGCTTGTGATTCATAAAATGGGTCAAATGCAGATGACAAAGTAAAGCCAACACTGAGCTGGAGGTGCTGACCCAGACTCCTGCCAACGATCAGGTCTGGGGCATGTTACACTGAAAACTCTACTAATAAGAGCTGCAAATGAATCATGCTCATGTTGAAATTATGATTTAAATTGTGAAAATCTGTATTTCTCACATGTGTGGGATTCCTCTGTTCATTTATCTGTTTCAGATGTAAACTGCCTTTGAATCTGAATGTACATCAAAGTTTAAGTTCAACGTTAAAATAGTTTATTGTCAATTCTTCATACGAAAAACATATAAAGAATCGAAATTGTTTTTCTCACTTCCTTGTGTATAAATAAATAATAATAAATGTAAATAGTGCGGAGGGAGTCCAGGTGTTCTTTGGGGCTGCAGGTTCTGTCAAACTTATTTTCCTCTAATAGTTTTGTAGTTTTCTTAATGTGTTTGTCATTACAGGTTTTCACTCTGCAGGACAGAACTTTGAATCAATCAGACGCAACAACCAACCTGCTCTCTCCTCCAGAAGACGAGAGACACATCAGACTGAGTGGTCCAGTCCACTGTCCATGTCTCCATGTCATGTCCATGTCTCCATGTCCATGTCTCCATGTCCACTCCATGTCCACTGTCCCATGTCCATGTCCATGTCCATGTCTCCACTGTCCATGTCTCCATGTCCATGTCTCCAATGTCCACGTCTCCACTGTCTCCACTGTGTCTCCACTGTCCATGTCTCCACTGTCCATGTCTCCAATGTCTCCATGTCTCCACTGTCCATGTCTCCACTGTCCACGTCTCCACTGTCCATGTCTCCAATGTCCATGTCTCCACTGTCCAAGTCCACTGTCCATGTCTCCATGTCCATGTCTCACATGTCCACTGTCCATGTCTCCACTGTCCAAGTCTCCACTGTCCATGTCCACTGTCCTCTCCAATGTCCATGTCTCCACTGTCCATGTCCACTGTCCATGTCTCCACTGTCCATGTCTCCACTGTCCATGTCTCCACTGTCCATGTCTCCACTGTCCATGTCTCCACTGTCCATGTCCACTGTCCACGTCTCCACTGTCCATGTCTCCAATGTCCATGTCTCCACTGTCCATGTCTCCACTGTCCATGTCCACTGTCCATGTCTCCACTGTCCATGTCTCCACTGTCCATGTCTCCACTGTCCATGTCTCCACTGTCCATGTCCAGAGTCTCTGAGGAGCAGGTCCAGAGTCTCATATGATCTGAACAAGTGTGTGAGACAGAAATGAAAACATCTGTTCATAAGTTTTTCTGAATGTTTTTCAGTCTGTACTGACATTTGATTTATGGTGAAATGTGCCGTTTATTTGGTGTCTCTTTTGATAGTAACTAATTACATGTACTATAAGAATGTACTATTGTACTGCAGATAAACTGTGGTATTCCACATGATCATATCTGGCAAAGATAATTTGTTCATTTTTGATTGTCACTTGCTTCAGCAAAAAGGGAACAATGAGATTTACTGACATACAGCTGTTTGTACTAACTTGTTAATGCAGAGTGTGTGTGTGTGTGTGTGTGTGTGTGTGTAATGGGTTTAATATTTGACTTCATATTATGATAAAGTATTTCCAGAAGTTCCTTGGATTGTTTAATAAATCATCTTTTCTCAGGAGAGATTCTTTCTTTCTTTACAAACTGACTGTATAAATCTAATCCCTGGTCAATATAAAAATCCTTAATAATGATAATATTTAGTAATGCATATCTCATCACAGTTTTTTTTTTTATTTTAAGATAATTTAGTCTATTTAAAACGTATCCCTTAAATATAGCCGTTTTGTTTTGCAAAAGTTAAACATACATTTTCAGTTTTGGCCATAAGATTTGGATGTGAATTATTAAAATAATTTGGTCACAAAATCCGACAGTTTGATGACCTGTGCGTCTTTTTACTGATCCGTGTGCGTAATCTGCGCGGAGCGTGTTAGCATTAGCATTAGCGCTAGCAGCGTCCCTCGGTTGCTAGGCGACAGGGGAGCGGCTCCGAGGTCTAGACTGTCCCATTTCCACAACGGCCTGGCGTCCGCGGAGGCCAGTTCAAGGGCTGCAGCCTTCACAGCCTTCGGAGGCTGCAGCCCTTTGAATTGGGACCCAGCCAGAGTTTAAACACAGTGGAGCACTTCCTGTACTACCCCATGACATCACAAGGTGGAACAGAGTGTTTTCAGTTTGAGAGAAGAACTAAATCAAACTTAAATGTTCAGATTTGTGTGTGAAACTCTTGTGAATGAAACGAAACACAAAACTCCAGCAGGTCTGTGCGACGAGGAAACGACACGAGAACATCCAAAAAAACTCTTTAATACTTACACGCAAAAAAAAAAGTCAAGTGGAGCCGGATCTGTTTTGTTGGATTATGACAGAAGCTGCAGCGTGAGGATTCGACCGGACACTTTTCAAACATTTAACAGACTCAGAGGAAGATGAGAGGAAACGTGTCTGACGCTGCTTATGTAAGAGGCTCCAGTAAATCCCACCCAGCTGCCGTCACTCACAGGTCTACACAACGACGCACAACAACACACAACTACACACAACGACACACAACGACACACAACGACACACAACACAACACACACAACTACACACAACTGCACACAACACAACACACAACTGACACACAACAACACACAACACACACACAACACACAACAACACACAACTGCACACAACGACACACAACTGCACACAACTGACACACACAACAACACACAACAACACACAACTGCACACAACGACACACAACTACACACAACTACACACAACTGACACACACAACAACTACACACAACTACACAACACACACAACGACACACAACGACACACAACGACACAACGACACACAACGACACACACACACAACACACACAACGACACACAACACACAACAACACACAACAACACACACAACACACACAACACACACAACTGCACACAACGACACACAACAACACACAACACAACACACAACGACACACAACGACACACAACGACACACAACGACACACACAACACACACACAACACACACAACACACACAACACACAACAACACACACAACACACACAACACACAACGACACACGACACACAACGACAACAACAACACACACACTACACACACAACACACACAACGACACACAACGACAACACACACAACAACACACAACTGCACACAACGACACACAACACAACGAACACACAACTACACACAACTACACACAACAAACACACACAACGACACACAACGACACACAACGACACACAACTGACACACAACTACACACGACACACACACACACAACACACAACACACACACAACACACACAAACAACACACACACACAACACACACAACAACGACACACAACGACACACAACTGCACACAACGACACACACAACTACACACAACACACACACACACACAAACACACAACTACACACAACGACACACAACTGACACACAACGACACACAACGACACACAACGACACACACAACACACACACACACAACTACACACAACTACACACACAACTGCACACAACGACACACAACTACACACAACGACACACAACTACACACAACGACACACAACTACACACAACTACACACAACTACACACAACAACACACAACTGCACACAACGACACACAACTACAACGACACACAACTGCACACAACTACACACACACAACAACGACACACAACTACACACAACTACACACAACACACACAACACACAACTACACACAACACACACACACAAACACACAACGACACACAACACACACAACAACACACACACACAACACACACACACACACACAACACACACAACTACACACACACAACACACACAACTAACACACAACGCACAACACACACACACACACAACAACACACAACTACACACACAACAACACACAACACACAACTGCACACAACAACTACAACAACAACACACAACGACACACAACGACACACAACGACACACAACTACACACACAACTACACACAACACACACACACAACACACAACGACACACAACGACACACAACACACAACTACACACACACACACAAACACACAACTACACACAACTACACACACACAACGACACACAACGACACACAACGACACACAACTACACACAACAACAACACAACAACACACACAACGACACACACACACTACACACAACTACACACAACACACACAACAACACACACAACGACACACAACGACACACAACGACACACAACACACACACAACACAACACACAACACACACAACACACACACACACACAACACACACACACACACAACGACACACAACGACACACAACGACACACAACAACACACAACAACACACAACGACACACAACTGACACAACGACACACAACGACACACAACGACACACAACGACACACAACGACACACAACACACACAACTGCACACAACTGCACACAACAACACACAACTACACACAACAACACACACAACGACACACAACGACACACAACGACAACAACACACACAACAACACACAACTACACAAACAACACACACACACACAACTGCACACACACAACAACACACAACTGCACACAACAACACACACACACACACACACACAACTACACACACACACACACGACACACAACACACAACACACACAACGACACACAACGACACACAACTACACACACACACAACACACAACACACACACACACACACAACGACACACAACACACAACAACACACAACTGACACACACACACACAACACACAACGACACACAACGACACACAACTGACACACAACGACACACAACGACACACAACACACACACACACAACACACAACTACACACAACGACACACACACAACACACACAACGACACACAACGACACACAACTACACACAACGACACACAACTACACACAACGACACACAACGACACACAACGACACACAACACACACAACTACACACAACTACACACAACTACACACAACGACACACACAACGACACACAACGACACACAACACACACAACGACACACAACGACACACAACGACACACAACACACACAACGACACACAACGACACACACACACACACACACAACGACACACAACGACACACAACGACACACAACGACACACAACGACACACAACACAACACAACACACAACACACACACACACGACACACACAACTACACACAACTACAACAACACACACACAACGACACACAACGACACACAACGACACACAACGACACACAACTACACACAACTACACACAACTACACACAACTACACACAACGACACACAACGACACACAACGAACACACAACTAAACACACAACTACACACACACACACACACAACACACACACAACGACACACAACAACGACACACAACTACACACAACACACACAACTACACACAACGACACACAACACACAACTACACACAAC